ARWWWTWCAATATTTTKTCCTAAGAATTTATCTTAATAAAAAAATATAATTTAATACCATCCTGTGACTCTTCCCCAGCTTTACGAGGCTTATTCCCAACAACAACAAAAATGTTATATAAATTCAAGACAAATATATGATATAATATAATATATATAATATAAATAATATAATATATGAAATTATTAGTATGTACCTCWTACAATGTATTTGCATAGTTATTATCTAATTGTTTTTAACAGTATACAGGTAATTATAAATATCAAAGTACAAATAGTTATTTTTGTCAAATCAAAAAGTCAACTTTTTATTCAACTACTACCTAACATTATTTTGAATAATATATTACATCCATGACATCCATAACACGTATCAATTAATTTTTAGTCTAGACTATAAATACTAGTATGCATATTATATTTGGTAGATAGATTGAGAAACACGTGTGTTTATATCGACACTTATATTAGATTTATTTCACTCTTAATTTATTTTTAGAGAAAGTGATGAAATCGTTTGTATTATTTTATTGAAGGCTTCCTTTTTTATTTCATTTACTTTTAAATTTAACTTTTTGAATCTATTGAGATATAAGTCTATAGGTAAATCTGTTTTAGGTAAAAAAAACATACATGCAACATCAAATTATAATCTTCAATAACGCCTCAAGCGAAAACCTGTTTCCAAATAGAAAATTTAAATTTTACCGTCTAATTCTTCTACAACCRAAGTCTACTATACAGTCATATTTCCCTAACCCGTAGTGATAATAATTAATTCAAGGTTTCAAAAATCTGTTCATACTTTATACTTTATAGGAAGTAGGCACGTGCAGTATGCTTCAGAAAAACTAAAACGGCCGATACTGTGTTTATGGATAGCTTATAAATAGTGGTTTTGAATTAATTTATTCCTTTTTGGTAATGCCATCTGCAGTGACGTACCCGGGGGGTCCGGGGGTTCATCTGACCCAAAATTCGTATTCCTTTATAGGAGCTTATATCGATTCTACTGAAATATATTTTTTACATTAAAAATTTAACTAACAGTTACGTCAGCTAATGACACCGTAAATTTGTCATGTAAAATATGTTAATTTCGCCAGATCAAAATTATTATCATAATAAATGCGATTAACGATCATTGTGTTTTGAATTATGTAGTTAATTATTTAATATTTTATTGTTTATATTACCGTCATGCTACATCACTACAATCCTACGCATGATGAGTACATTATATGAACTCGGTTGCCGACGGAATCAACATAGTATACAAAATTCTGGAATGATATTAAACCACTTTTATAGTATTTCTTTTTTTTAATCACTAAGAGTTTAACTATATATTATAAAATATAAATATTGATATCTAAAAAATTTGTAAAAAATCACCCATTTGACTTAAAGAAGTGTTTTTACCACATACATTTATCTGAACATCAGATTTATAAATTGGCTATATTGAATATTTCGAAAAAAATGTTATCGATTGTTGTTTTTTATTTTCAGTATTAAAAAATAAAAATAAAAAATGTGTTCTAAAAATGTAGCGAAAGTGTCTATGAACTATATTCAAAAGACATTTTTTAAAAATATTGATTAGAACAAAAGTTATTTCATTTGTCAGATCTCCGTGGGACACCCTGATCTTATAGTCTATAATGCTCTTATGTTTAGAAATTAGTAAGTACCTGCATAAATTAGTTTATATATTTTAATACATATCTTACATCCATAGAACACTTCTGGGGTTAATTAGCCAATATTTAAGTACATATACCCATATTAGAATTGAAACTTAATTTAATCAAAACGTATCCCAAATCAAGACATAATTATTATAAAATAGTTATTTGGATGTTCACGAATCCTGGTTGAATTGCGTAAATGAATCTACATTATACATGGTGCATCATACTCTTGTAAGAGATCCATGTCTTGTCGTTTTGATGACAAAATATTACTATAATTCAAACACTTACAATTATAGGTATACTCATATAGTACSTATCATAAGTACTCAGTAGGTACTACTAGTCAGAAAATCTAGGAGTAATATTAATAATTATCACAATTCAGTATGCACTATAATATAGTCATACTACAATTTTCATTGTTTTTATWTTTTCTAAATTTAATTTTTTCAAATAAAATGTAAACAAAACACACTAAAAAATGTCAAATATTTAAGAGCACTTTAATTTTCAGGTCTTTAAACCAAAAATTGCTATTATTAATACAATAMTCCGATATAAATACAGAATACAAATATTACTAATCAGTACTAACTAAACTTAATATTAGGTACTAATTTATAAAATAATAGTGTTACATTTAACTTTAAAATCGTGCATTTTTTTATCACAAAAATACTTACAAAACAAAAACCCCATTGAAAAATTTATAATTGCATCCACGCCTTCATGCACTGCAAAATTTGAAACTGAAAAAATGTTTTAATTTCACTTAATTCCTTTACAACAACACATAAATGGCATTACAATTTGTAGTATATTTCACACTTGCATGATAAATTTGTTACCTACTTCAAACGACGATAATCGATGAAATGGGTTTGTTTTAAACTTTAAAATTATCGAAAGCCATATAGGTAATAAACACTACCTATGTAAATAATACTTTTTGTTGGTTCATTGTATTATTATGATGCCTCAAAAACGTTGCTCTGTTTTATTTTTGTAACAAATGTTTTTGTTTAAAAATCACGTAGGTAGGCACCTAACAGTAATTTATGACTGATTTGCATGACGAGTGTTTTTGTCGTGTCATAATAATATTATTTTTAAATATGTAATTGTAAGAGACTAAGACCAAGATAACAAATGTTTAAA